TCCCTTGAAGCCCTAAAGCCCTGCAGTCTTGTGCTAGTGCTCCCTCTGGCACTTGCTCTTAACTCAAATACTCCTCACATGTCAAAGAAAAACAGACCGAGCAACAGCCCTTAACTCAAAATGCTCTTAAGTTGAGATGCTCTTAAGTAGAGGTTCCACTGTTTATATATTAATTTCCAGAATCCCTATTTCCATGGATTTCTTTACAGTAATTGAAAAGTGAACACATTACAAGTAAGCTAACTATCAAAATGGGGTGGACATGTTATAAGTCATATACCAGCACCATTTTAGAAAACAAAATTTTTGGGACCTGGCTACCAAAGATGATTTTTTTCTAAAAATATTAAAAGGAACTATTGTTCATTGATGGGATACAGCCCTTTTTATCATGAGGACCTTAAGAAATGTCAAATAATAATACTTCCATTACATGCCTGGAACTTCAATATGGTTTACAATAAACTCTGCAAGGACCTCAGCATGTTTGAGTTCCATAAACACACTTGTAACTGTAGTAAAGTGCATTTATAGTGCAACCAAATAAGAAACAGTGCTGTTTGAAACAACATCTAAGCTGTAAATCTATGGAGAATTTGGTGAATTGATTGTAAACAAGCTATGCATTATGCACCTTTTAAATGTATACGGGAAATGCATGGGGTACATTTTATTGCTATAACTATTACTTAGTGTCAAATATATCATTACCTAATTGTGGACTATGAGTATAGATTTTCTTAAAGGAAAACCAACTGAAATCTTTATAATACAGCTGGGGATATAACGGTTTCCTCATGCATTGTGCAGAACCTAGAAAAACATTGCAGTTTCAGCATCAGTTCATTTTTATGTAGTAGTCTGCAGTTGACATTACACTAGGAAATAATATCTACAGTAATTATCTAACTACGGTATCAGCAAAATTCTTTTTCAAAAACCACCATTCAATAATACTGATCTAGCCCACAAAAAAGCACCACAGCAACTGAACTCTATACAGTATACATGGCCACTGAGAATTCTTGTGTTGCTATTGATTTCATCATCACATTTGTACTATTTACTTTTGTTAGAACACAAATCATTTTAAAGGCTAATTCTATGTATAAAAACATAAAATATAACATTATAAAGAGATGTTATTATTATATTGAAATTTCACCCAAAGCAGTTGAGTACTCTGAGGCAAACAGCTCTCCTGTCATTAGCTGAGTACCCAAATCACTGAAAATATATCCCGAAGCACAATAAGACTTCACAAGTCTTTAAGAGTATTGCTCTTCAACACAAAATGACATTCACATGTTTGCACATTTTTCTTTTATTCAGGTAATAACAGCAACCGTGCTCAGAACAAAAAGAGTCTGTCAACTCAAGGCTCTTGTGCCTAAAATTAGATCTGTGATGTGTATTTTGGTCTGTGGACGCATCCTAGACAGCAATAAGACTGTACATATCAATAACCCAACTGCTCAAAATAATGGGATGGAGAGAAAGAGTAGAAGTGGGGCATGAATAGACTTCCACATGTACCAGCTAGCTTGTAGTTTAGTGTTGTCTTCAGGCAAGGAGCCCCTGGTGTCACAATGGATTAAACCTTGTGCCAGCAGGACTGAAGACTGACAGGTCAGAAGTTCGAATCTGGGGAGAGCTTGGATGAGCTCCCTCTGTCAGCTTCAGCTCCCCATGCAGGGACATGAGAGAAGTCTCCCACAAGGTTGGTAAAAAACCAAACATCCGGGCATCCCCTGGGCAACGTCCTTGCAGACAGCCAGTTCTCTCACACCAGGAGCAACTTGCAGTTTCTCAAGATGCTCCTGACATGAAAAAAAAAAACTTCAGGCAGGTCACTGTGTGATGAAGCCTTCATTATATCAATATTAATGCTTGAAAGTATCTATGAATATTATGTATCTACTCTTAATTATACTGTAATACTGTAATATCAGCAGTCAAGACAAGGCTAATACAGATAACCCCTGTCTATAAAGAATGGAGAAGTAAGTATAGAGAGAGTGGCAAATATAAATTAATTGTGGGTTTCGCCACCCGTGAGCCAAACGACACAGGTCTTGCCAGACACTTTGCTGCTCCTCTGCACCACAATGATTCTCTGCATGATAAAGGGCAAGACAAAACACTCAGCTTCAAATGGGGTGATTCAATGAGGTGATCTATGACCCAGTGAGTTATCGTGAAACAAGAAGTATAGATATTCTGTGGTTCAGCAATGTGCAGACAAAGTCTCAGTGCAACCTTGAATTCCTTTATGCTTTCAGGTTTATAAAAACTGAACACAATGGGACTAAGACACATATAAAGCATTAAGTATCTGTGCCAAGATAAACGCAAGAGGATACTTACTGTATCCTTAGGATTGCAGTCTAGGCAAATACATGCTATTCACATAAGGTTAACCACACTGCTTCAGTTCAGTATAATCAAACAAACAACTCAATTTATTGATAGCCATAATACCCAAGACTACTTAAAAATTACCAGAATATATTTTGTTGAGTGCTACTTGTCTCTTCACAATGTTATTATGTTATTTCTGATAGTAAATATATCCTTACGGAAAGCATTTCCACTGTAAAGGAAACCAAGCTCCCCTTTGTTTGATGTAGAGAATGTAGAACAACCAAAATATTATCTCTACTCCATCTTGTTGAGTAAACATTTGTGGGATTTTGAGGTTTCTGAGAGCTTTGAAACATCCACAAATAAATATTACAGCTTAGCTGTTAATCAGTTATTGATATTTAAACAGACATAACCTTAACAACATTATTTCTATCAGGAACATATAATGACTAACTTCTAATATATTCAGTGTTATATTTACTAATTAAAATTCCATAGGTGATATAGGCCATTTATTTTTAGCTGTATCAATTCTGCCCTTATTTAAGCATCTTAGTAGGAGTTTGTGAATGATTAATGGATGATAAGTCCCATTCCCACTGAGTTCAATAGGGCTTTCTTCTATAATAAATTGAAATAAAAAAATGCATAGAACACTGTAGCCATAACACCATGTAAACAATGGGTTTGACTGCAATCCTATACACATAGATCTGTGGGTAAGCCATCCCACTCTATGGATCTTGCTTCTGAGTGGACATCCTAAGGATTATACTCTTAAGACACAGGATTAAAACCATTGTCCTATAGAGGTAATATTAGCAGAACTTGCATGGCATGGTCTTAAGACCTTTCTAAAAGGGAGAGTGTACAACCAAGTGTATTTGCCTTGTTTGGGTGTCCCTTTCTTGAGAAGCCAGTTGTAGCTAGACCACAGATCACATGAGACATAAAGTATTGTGTTTATTGACCTGATGAGGATGTACACTCCGCTCCTAGACATGTCTTTACAAGAAGCAACAAACCAAACTACAAATATTTCCATTTCAGCAAACCAGCTCCATCATAATCCAAGATGCACAAGACTTACTCCAAAAATTGTAGTAGCACCTTGAAAATGGTGCAGATGTGAGCAGACAATAAACCTGCTATACAGCAAACATCAGTGACTTAATATACAAGTAAGTGGTATGTCCAACTAAAACACACTGATCTTTCTTGCACCATGAAAAGAAATTTGCAAATTATCAGTCATTTATATTTTAACATATATGCCACTCGTTAATGGGGCTGCGGTGGCTCAGCAGGTTAAACCACTGAGCTGCTGAATTTGCTGACCAAAAGGTCAGCAGCTCAGATCTGCAGGACAGGATGAGCTCCTGCTGTTAGTCCCAGCTCCTGCCAACTTAGCCATTTGCAAGCATGCAAATGTGAATAGATCAATAGGTACCACTCTGGTGGGAAGGTAATGGTGTTTCATGCAGTCATGCCGGCCACATGACCTCGGACGCATCTACAGACAATGCCAGCTCTTTGACTTAAAAACTGAGATGAGCACAACTCCATAGAGTTGGACACACTAGACTTAATGTCAGGGGAAACCTTTACCTTAGAATCTTAGAATCATAGAGTTGGAAGAGACCTCAAGGGCCATCCAGTCCAACCCCCTGCCATGAAGCAGGAAAATTGCATTCAAAGCACCCTCGACAGATGGCCATCCAGCCTCTGTTTAAAACCCTCCAAAAAGGGGCCTCCACCACCTTTTATTTATGCCATTCATTCCTTCTGGGACAACCACCAAAGGTTAAGAAGCAAAGTCAGTAATCAAGAGGAAAGGTGGCACCGGATGAAGTGGTACCCAGCCGTGTCACAAAGTACCCCTGATTGGCAAGCAGCACCCAACACACATGGGCACCCCTTCTAGGCTGTCCTATGACCCCAAATGTGGAGTTAAGGGGGAGGGCGTCTCTGGGAATCGTCCTGGACGGGAGAGCAGGAGYACTTTGGAGGAGGAGGAGGAGGAGGAGGAGGAGGAGGAGGGTGTAATTTCTACCTGGAGGCATTAATGATGTTTCTAGAAATGGTTTCTGACTGCTGCCAGATGCTTCTTGGAAATGCAGGAGCTTCCAGGCTGAGAGGCGCAAGGAGCAGCAGCCCAAGGTGAAGGAGGGAGGGAGAGAAAGGCTCAGGGGCAGCTAAGCAAACCGTGGGGCAGCAACACAAGGGAGGCAGCCCCATCCAAAGGGACACAGGAAGGCGGGAATGGGGCTATGGCTTAGGGGGGCAAGGAAAAGGGGAGCAGAAGTACCCAAAAGAAATGAAACTGAGGGAGATACAAATAAAGGGAGTTTCGGGGTGGGATGGCAGGAATGACAGAAGGGGGGATCGGAAGAAACATGTCCAATCGGGGGGGGGGGGCTTTGCGCCCCAACCACAGCCACAATGCGACCCTGTGGGGAGCGGAACACAACCTAGAGGAGGGTGCGGGCTTTTATCATAGAGGTTACGCGAAAGGGCGAAACTCGGGAGGGAGGGGGAGGGCAGAAGTGAGACCCCACGAAAGCTCTCCCCTCACCCCACGTCTCTGTGACATAAACACACACAGAGAGAGAGAGAAACCCAGGCATCCTCACCAGAGGGAATCCAGGTCCCATTCCTGCAGGAGCGCCAAGTCGAAGCTGTCCATGGTGAGGAGAAGAGGAGGAGGAGGAGGAAGATGTCAGCCGAGGAGCATCTTAGCGGCGCCGCGGGTGGGCGAGGAGGCGAGGGAGGAGGAGGAGGAGGAGGAGAAGCAGGGGTCCTCCTTCCATGCGTCCCTCCCTCTCCTCACAGCAGAGAGAGAGAGAGACAGAGAGAGAGGGAGAGAGAGAGAGAGACGCTGCTGCCTCCGTGAAGCGCCTCCGCTCGCCCTCCGGCGGCGGCTCTTCCTCTGCGCGCCTTTTCCCTCCTCCTCCTCCTCCTCCTCCTCTTGACTCTCTTCTCTTCTCCTCCCTCCTTCACCTCGCCTTCTCTCTCTCGCTCTCTCTCTCTCGCTTGTGGCGGAGATGCAGGCTGCGTAAAACCACCTCAGCTCTTCAGTGGAGCCGTGTGGTTGCAACCCAGAGCGGCTTTTTTTCCTCCCGCCTCTCCGAAGCGGCTTTGTTCCCCTCTTCCTTCCGCGCTTCAGCCCTCGCGGCGGTTTTGACAAAATAGGGGTGGCGGGGGGGGGGGAGGGGGGTTGTGTGTTGTTTCGACTGTGGCGGAATGCCTCGGCTGTGTGTGTCGTTTGCAAAGCTGAGGCGGTGTTGACAGGCAAAGCGGCCTCCCAGGCGCAACAGACACAGAAGAAAGGAAGGAATGAAAACCCGACGTGCAACTCACTTCTCTCTCACCTCGAACACAATGTCCCCTTCCCTCCCTTTTTGAAATCTCTACCAGGTGTCACTCTGCTTGGAAAATATAAGACAGAAGTCTCAGACGAGGAGGGCCCCTTGGAGAGCCTTCTTTCCACTGGGTTGATGTGACTGAGAAGCATACGAGCAGCTCAGCCTGTCATTAAACATCGAGAAAACCAAAGTGCTCTTCCAGCAGTCACCGGCCTACCCTTCTCCAATGCCAGAAATACAGCTTAATGGTGTAACATTAGAAAATGTTGACCATTTCCGCTACCTTGGCAGCCACCTCTCCACAAAAGTCAACATTGACACTGAAATTCAACACCCCTGAGCTCTGTGAGTGCAGCCTTTTTCCGAATGAAGCAGAGTGTTTGAGGACCAGGACATCCGTGGGGATACCACGGTGCTTGTTTATAAAGCCATTGTCCTCCCAACCCTGCTATACGCCTGCGAGATGTGGACAGTCTACAGACGTCTTCTCAAGCTTTCCTGTCTTCTCATTATGTTGCCAAAGCACTTCATCTTTGCCTCCAATATCCTTCTCTCCAGTGAGCAATTGGGCTTTATTTCCTGAAGTATGGACTGGTTGGATCTTCTGGCAGTCCAAGGCACTCTCAGAATTTTCCTCCAACACCACAGTTCAAAAGCATCTATCTTCTTTCGCTCTGCCTTCCTTATGGTCCAGTACTCACATCCATAGGTTGTTGTTGTTGTTTATTCATTCCGACTTTTTGTGACCTCATGGACCAGCTTATGCCAGAGCTCCCTGTCAGCCATGGCCACCCCCAGGTCCTTCAATGTCAAGCCAGTCACTTCAAGGATACCATTCATTTACCTTGCCCTTAGTCAGCCCCTCCTCCGTTTCCCTTCCATTTTCCCCAGCATCATTGTCTTCTCCAAGGTATTCTGTCTTCTCATTATGTGACCAAAATACTTCATCTTTGCCTCTAATACCCTCCCTCCAGTGAGCAGTTGGGCTTCATTTCCTGGAGTATGGACTGGTTGGATCTTCTCGCGGTCCAAGGCACTCTCAGAATCTTCCTCCAAATCCACAGTTCAAAAGCGTTTATCTTCCTTCACTCAGCCTTCCTTATGGTTCAGCTCTCGCATCCATAGGTTACTACGGGGAATACTATTGCTTTAACTATGTGGATCTTCATTGCCAGTGTGATATCTCAACTCTTCACTATTTTATCAAGAGTGGCCATTGCTCTTCTCCCAAGAAGTAAACATCTTCTGGTTTCCTGGTTGCAGTCTGTCTCTGCAGTAATCTTTGTACCTAGAAATTAAAATTCTGTTACTGCCTCCGTGTTTTCTCCCTCTGTTTGCCAGTTATTCATCAGTCTGGTTACCATAATCTTGGTTTTTTTATGTTTAACTGCAACCCAGCTTTTGCACTTTCTTGTTTCACCTTGGTTAGAAGGCTCCTCAGCTCCTCACTTTCGGCCATCAAAGTGGTATCATCTACACATCTAAGGTTATTAATGTTTCTTCCAACAAATACATACATGTATGGACACATATATACATTGAAATAATTAAATGTTTGGGAACACAACATATCTCAAATATATGATTCATTGCTAGTTTCACACTCAGAGGTTTCTCCTACCATTTATGCAACATACCTACACACTACCACTAACACACTAATGTGTCACAACACAGTTTAGAAAGCTCTGCCAATAACACTTTGTCCTTTAGTTTTCGAAAACATCTACACTATAGAATGGATGCAGTTTGACAATACTTTGTCTGCCATAGCTCAATGCTGTGAGTTCTCTGGAGTTGTAGTTTTAAACGGCCCTTAGCCTTCTCTGCCAAATAGTGCTGGTGCCTTGCCAAACTATAACTCCCATGATTCCAGAGGATTGAGCCATGGCAGTTAAAGTAATGTTAAACTGTATTAATTCTACAGTGTAATGGCAACCATACCCAATAGCATGGAAAGTGAGATGTCTTCCATCAATAGTCAGAGGGCTGCTACGATGCATCTGCACCACTTCAATTTCCATAGCTCAATGCTATGGGATAGTGGGTTTTGTAGTTTGGTGAGGGACCAGCACTTGGGCAGAGAAGGCTAAAGATTTTGTGAAAATGACAACTCACGTGATTTTATAGCATAGCAGTTGAAGTGGTGTCAATATCAAACCATTAATACACCCATAGATGCATGAAAGAAGTCTCTCTGTGTGTTTTCATTGGGACCCCCAAACAACTTTCTCAAACCTGGTCAGGAGCCAGCAAGGTGTAGTGGTTTGAGCTCAGGATTTCAACTCTGGAGATCAAGGTCTGACTCCACTCTTGGCTAGAAAACCCACTGGGTGGCTTTGAACCAGTCACACTCTCTTTGCTTCAGAGGAGAGCAATGGCAAACCTCTTCTGAACAAACCTTGCCAAGAGAACTCTGCAATAGTTTTGCTTTAGCATCACCATAGGTCAGAAACAACTTCGAGGAGCACAACAACTGCATCATAATGTAATGATAGAGCTCCCACTTTAACCCATGACTGAGGGAATAGTTGAATCAAGACTAATACAGCCAGATTAGCCCTGAGAGAGACCAACTGTATTGGGATATTCTACAATAATCTATGAATAGATCCTTTTCATTGTAACTACCATAGCTAGAGAAGGAGGCATAACAATAATGAATATTTGAAACCATAATCGTATTAATTCAAAAATCATACACATTTTTTAAAAAAAAAACATCAACATTACATTAGTTATATAACATATTGAGGAACCTTGGTACTTCAGATGTGTTGGACTATAACTCCCAGAATTCCTTACAATTGCCCATACTAGCTGAGGCTTCTGAGAGCAAAAGTCCAATAGATTGGGAATGTGAATTTCCTCCCATATCTGTTACCGTGTTAGCAAGCTATCTGGCTTCCACTCTGTTCAAATTAAGATGCCCAGACAGTCTCCAAAGTCAAATCACCCCTTTCAGCATTTCAGTAAATCACTAACTGTATGACTGCAGGAAAGGAAAATCAAGAATAAGTGCCTCCACTTTACTTGCTTAAATGTTGATTTTACACAAATTTCCTTTTATGTTCATTTACAAAAGTAGTCCCAAGTGCGATTACTGACGGCTGCAGTGCCAGAATAAACATGTTAGCAGAGGTTCAGTTGTGAAAGGAACTCTAAAAGTATCTTGGCTGTATCATAATAAAAAGAAATTAAAGCTTACATCAATATGCAGTGTTTCCATTTACCTTAGTGTGAGCTGGTGTGTTACTACTGAATGCTGCTAACAAGCATGAAGGCAACATAATTTATCAAGCACATTTCACAGTACACTGTTCTAAGTAGGTTATGTCCCTGACTGTCATGTCACATCACAATGGAGTTTTTCAGTAATGAGTGAAGCAAATGCGCATATGTCTTCCCTATTAGCTTTAAGCTTGGGGGTCCTTTTTAGACAATAGAATATATGCATCTTTATTTGAGTCTCCTCATATTCTTAATATGAGTAAGAGAGTAACAATAACAACAACTCCTGCACTGTAGTCTTAAGTTGCATCTACAGTGTAGCATTCATCTAGTTCAGTGGTTCCAAACCTGAGGTCCATGGACCACCAGTGGTCCACAATAACTAAAATATGGTCTGCGGCCTCACCATTACTACACTGTTGCAACGAGAGCAGCTGGTCTCACGAAACTCTCTTATAGTGCCGAGGCTTATTAAATATGGTTTTCTGTGGGTGTGCAGATGGCAACTACTCAATGAGATATCTTCTGTATCAGAAATTAGAGCTGATGTGGTCTACCCAATGCAGTTTCTGAATCAGCACCCCAAATAACCAAACAAAATCTAAAGTTGACCAAAAACTGATTTGTAACCCTTTTGGTGCTAATGTTCGAGAGTGGTCCCTGGTCAGAGTGGTCCCTAGCCAAGTGGTCCCTGGTCAAAAAAAGGTTGGGAACCATTGATCTAATTTGACACCATTTTAACTGCCATGGCTTAGTGCAATGGAATCATGGGAGTTATAGTTTAATAGACACCAGCATCTATTGGCAGAGAAAGCTAAATATTGTGTACAACTACAACTCCTAGTATTCTGTAGCATTGAGCCATGCCAGCTAAAATGGTGTAGATCAATCCACATTCCTTCCAGAAGTAGAAGGGTATCCCAGAGACATTTAGGTTTAACCAAAAGTGGAAAGGTATTAACAAGTCGACACACACCTCAATTTTCTGGTAATTCACTATCAGTCCCTTCTATTGAACACAAACATGAGCATCAGGAAGGTATTTCAAACACAGAAAGAAAAGTCAGCTTTGGTGGGCAACAGCATGTCTAAATTAACTATAGTACAAATTCATAACAGCATGCTGCCTTTTATAGTCTAACAACACTGTTGGCAACTGATGTTCCTCTTCCAGTAAACATGCATATGCAATGTTTCTCAGAATAAAGGTAATGTGGTACACAGAAGGCAGCTGAAGCTAGATAGACAGTCCTCAAAAATTAGCAGAACAGTATGCTGATTTTTAAATATGGCTAGCTAAAGCACCACGAGGGTTAAGTATGAACGGGAATACTATTTGCCAATGCCACCGAACTATTTCTCACTCCTTCGTTCATCATTGCACTCCTAGCATCAGGTTTCACCCCTACTAGCATTTTTCCAGCCTACAGCTCTTTAGTTTTCTCAGACAGTGGTGACCATTTGTTTGTATGGTATACACTCAGGGAGGTTATAGAAGTCTAAGGATGGATGGTGCACATTTATAGGAATTTGGTACATATTTAACTGCCACAGCTCCCTCTTATGGATTCCTGGGATGTATTTTAGT